TGGAGTGGGTTCAGGGTCATTTGGCAGACAACTCTGGGATCCCAGGTGCTCAGAACATGGGGGATGGTGTGGCTCTAGCCGGCAACCCTTAGGCAGACAGATCCCCCGCTGTGAGGTGAGGGTATAGCCAGGTGAAGGAACAGGGGTTTCTAGAATGTGGGCTCAGGTTGCCTGGGTCTAGAGGTAGTACTGATGAGATACAGATCCAAAGTTTTATGGGTTCTTAAACATATAATCTCCAGTTGACAGAGCCAAGAAAATTTTTTAAAAGGCAGGCAGCTTTGGCTTAATCAACAGATGCTGATTGAATAGTGGTTTTCTACAATGACATTATAGAAAATGTCATTAACAGTTACATGATATTAAGTCACCTCCTAACCCCATAGGGTTGACTTCCTCTCATAGACCCTAGACCCTGTCCGTTCAGGCCAGGCGGCCAGAGCCAGGGGGGAATGAATTCTAGAATGCTTTAATTGCCAGGCCACCTTCAACTCAGAGTAAGGTACTCCCATCACTATTGGTCGATTTGGTAAGGGTCTGAAAGAGGGTTTTTTTCTTTTTCTTTTTCTTTTTTTATTGCAATATAACTGACCTATGACATTATGTTAGGTTCAGGTATATAACAAAATGATTCTATATATGTATATATTGTGAGATGATCACCACACTAAATCTAACATCCATCACAACACAGTTATAAATTTTTTTCTTGTGATAGAACTTTTAAGATCAACTCTCTTAGCAACTTTTAAATATACAACACAGTAGTGTTAACTATATAGTCCCCATGATGTACGTGACATCTCTGTGACTTATTTGTTTTATAACTAGAAGTTCGTACCTTTCTGCTTTTATCCATTTTGCCCACACCCCACCCCCACCTCTGGCAATCACCAATCTGATTCTATCTATGACTTTGGTTGTCTCTTTTTCCTTTTCTTTTTTTTAGATTCCACATATATAAGAGAGATCATATAGTATTTATCTTTCTCTGTCTGATCTGAAAGTTTTTCATTCTTCTCTGTGCTATGTCTTCTTCCCTATTTATTCCCATCAGTTAAAGAGATAATAACTCCACAAGCATCTCATTGGGAGTTTATCAGTTAGGAATGCGTTTCTGTAAAATTTCCTGTGTGAATAACCACAACCAAAGATCCTATCTAAAAAAGTGTTTACGCCCTAGGATTTTTTGTCTCTTAGTTGCTGGTCATTATGCTCCCTCCACTGCTGTACCCCCAACCCATGCCCACCCCAGCCAATCCTCAATGTTCTGGTTTGTTGCCTCATGGTTTTAATATGGCTATTGAGCACCAGATATCATTATCTGCATTCAAGGCAGGAAGCAGAGGAGGGGTGGAAGAGGAGAGCACCAGTGATTTTTTTTTTTTTTTTAAATCAGAAAAGCAGGAGCTGTCCCAGAAATTCCATAGCCAGCTTCAGCCAAAATGTGTCACTGAGCCACCTCTAGCTGGAAAGAAAGACTCCACAATGGCTTCTAGAGTAGAAAAGGTCAAGGGCAAAGGGAATTGGTAATGGGTTATGTGTTGGCTGTCCAAAGGGTCTGCCATAAAGTGGAAAAGCCCTAATGGATGTGAGGTACTGAGACGTACAGAGCTGAACAACTTGTAGTTTGGAGCTTCTCAGAATAAGACATGAGCCACAAGGGTATCTGTGGTCCCACCTTAATGTCACCCAATGTCATCTTTCTTGATAGAAAGAGGGGCTTTCTTGGAGGAAAGGGCTCATTAAATCCTTAGCCTATAAATATAGGTATAATAAGGAAATGAGGGCAGGGCAGCAACAATTTTATCTCTTGAAGGAATAAAAACAAAAAGTACAAATTTGAACCACCTTCTAATTACCAGCTTCAGAAGGCAGCAGGAAGCAAACCTTTATAACTTTCTCACATCCTGGTAGCCACTGTTTTTCTCTGCAGTGATGGAAGGGTCCTTGTGCCCTATTCAGAAGAAGCTGGCACATCCCAGTACCCTCCACCCCAGGCGTTAGGACTTGAGCTGGTGGTGGCAACTTTACAGAGGGGAGTAGATGGAGCTCCTGGGGGCTGCCACAAAGAAGAGAAGGGTTCATGCCTGCTGCAATGGCCACCAGCCTGGGCTTAAGCAGTAGCTTGAAGGCTTAATTTTAAAGAGTCACTCATTCAAAAGAGATTCTGCAAGAGCCCAGTTAATGAAGAGCTGAGATCCCGACGTCACTGTGACAGACACAAGGACTGGTTTGGTGCAGAATAAGCATCTGGAACAGGATGGACCCCAGCACCTGGAGGGAGAGGTCTGCAGGGTCAACTGGCTGCAGCAGTGAAGGGTAACATGCACTGGAGGCAGAGAACCACTGGCTACACTCAGTGGGTAACCCTGTTTAGAGCTCAGTCTTTTATAACTAGCAACTCCTGCTCAAAGCCCACATCCCTCCAGATTAACACCACCTTACTTCTCCCTTCTCTGAGGGCATCAGGTCAGGAACACTCCCTGTTCGACTGCGCCTCTGGTAGCAAAAACAACCAGCATCCTCATTCCGGAATCTTCTGAAGTGGCTCTTCCCTAATGCAAAACAGCCCTCTGTGCCCTTTGGTCTGGTGATCATACACACTTGCAGCATGCTAGTTTAAGAGCACTTTTGAAGACAGCCTCTGCATTTCCATTTGCAAGCTCTCAGATGGAGCCAGACGCTCCAACTAAGATCTCTCTGGAACTATCTTCCACCAGCATGCTGCCAGGGTGTTGTTCTGCATTAATTCCAGGCAGGTTGGAAGGGGTAAAGTAGCTCTGCAGGCTGACTTCTAAGGAATGCATTCATTTTGACACATAAACCACATGCAGTATAGAAGGTTAACTTTCATCAATATAAGCAAAATAAAATCCTCAGAGAACGCTGTACTTTAAGAACGCTGCAGTCCACATTGTGAATGCTTTCAATCCACTGAATTGTTTACTTTATGATGGTTCAATTTATGTTGTGTGAATTTTACCTCATTAAAAAACTACCGTATTACTATACTTTTTAACTTTAGGAAGTGGTTTTACTGTTTTCTTCCTCAATTCATTTTCTTTTCACATTCCTGGAGGCCAGAAATACAGAAACCGTGAGTTGTTTCTTCTCAGATAAGGAAACCCAGGTCCACAGAAGGTGTGAAGCCAACAAGAGGATGGCCGAGCTACAAAGAGCTCAGTGTGCTGATGCCTGGGCCAGGGCTCATTCTACGAGGTTCCAAAGCAAATAACTCAAGGGCATGGTCCCTTGGTGACCTCCAAAGGCAGCAAAGGAAGCAGAAGCACCACCATGCTACAGAGGAAGCTAAGTCCTCTCTTCCTCTCCATGTCTGCCGGAATTTGAGAAGGAGTTCATCTCTGCAAGGCAGTAGGGCAGGAGGGAAGGTACTGGAGATGAGATCAGTTTTGCTAGGCCATTTTTTCAAGTTCATTTTTTACATTTTATCTTTTAAGTATAAAGTCAGTGTTTTATAACACCTTCACGGAGTGGTCCAGCCACCATCGCCATCTCATTCCAGAACATCTCCATCATCCCCAGGAGGAACCTTCTTCCCATGAGCAGTCAGTCCCCACCCTTCCTCCCCGGCCCCTGCAATCACCAATCTACGATAGTGGTGCCTACTCTGGACATCTCATACCCACGGAGGCATTCAGAGTGTGGCCTTTTGTGCCTGGCTTCTCTCCCTTAGCAGAGCCTTCTCAGTGTGCATCCACACTGCAGCATGTAACAGTAGGCCACTCCTTTCCACGGCGTAAATCCCCAGGGATTCTTCCACTGCTTCTTTCCTGCCAGCTGTGGGGATGTGGGGACCATAGTTAGGGCAACAGAAAAGAGCCCTCATTCTGGCAGGGCCCAGAAAGAAGAAAACAGACCCCTCTGCAGCGTCGCCAACATTCCCCACGATCTTCTTCCTTATGACAAGAACTGTTAGGTCAGATCCACCGGCCAACCCCGCCTTAACTACAGGACCGCGTGGAGCACGCATCACAGGGCAGCCTGTGCACTCTCCAGATGGCGAGGGCCATCCTGCACAAGGCCAAACCTGGTGCTAAAACAAAGGCAAGGCCTGGTGTCATCTGGGATGAGGGATGCGCTTGACCCCTTCCTTTTACAAGTGTGCAGGGGCCTGCTCTTAAATTGTAGATTCATAACGCCACCTATGAATCTCTCATCACCTCAGCTGTCTTCTGCTCAGATCAAAGCCTTCTAGCCTCTACAGTGTTTCCTGGGGTAGATCCCCCATGATTAACCCAGGATAAATAATACTCGCAAATGTCCCTGATGTCCACGTGCATCTCCATGTCAAGCTGATGATGGGACTTCCTGATGGCCTGAGCCAGCAGCTCGTTACAAGTCTCTCCACTTGGGCATAACCTGGGTATTCTTACGACTGTTCTTCAGTGTCCTCAACTTCTTCTTCTCCTTTCTAGCACAGGTGGACAAGGGGTTACCATGCCCAATTTGCAGAAGAAGAAATGGAGGCCCAGTAAGAGCAAGAGACCAGTATTCATTAGCAAAAGGTAACCAGTAACTGATAAGGGGTCCCATCTCCCACTGCACTGCTCTGGATGCGCCAAGTGGATACACGAGAGGGCTGGTTAATGAAACGCTTCTTTGAGGGAGGAGGTGAAAGAAAAATTACAGTCTGTTCTCAGCTGTCCAGATTTGAGGGCACATATTTCGACCCAAGCTATATGGTTCCTGCCACCAGCCCATGTCATCTTCTACAATTAGGTAGCACGTACCCAGAACATGACCTATGTTAACAGCAAAATGTCTCCGTGCCCCTTCCCACCCCCGAGTTCTCCAACACAGACCAAAGTCAACCATAAACCAAACAAGTCGGGTAAACTGATAGATATTCACTTCATGTGTGGGTCCAAAGAAAACTAGGCTTCCACATGATCCAGCCCGCTGGGGAAAGGGCTGCCGAAGCAGTGACGACCCTGCCCCATCTCCTCTCCGGCCTCCCCTCCAGCCACGCTTCTTACCCTCCCTTCAAACTTGGCAGTGGCTCCTTCTCTGATGCAGAGGTTCCGAGGGGGCACAATGAAAGCAGGGGCCTCGGTCAGGGACACGGAACCGACTCTCGGGCGATCCACACTGACGGAGGTTTTAGAAACCTGGGTTGAGGCAGCCAGCTTCACATCCCCCATGGTCTGCAAACAGGAAGGAAGACCAGGTCAGATGAGAGAAGTGCAGCCCCTCATCCCTGTGCATGGCCAGCATTCCCCATGTGTGGGTGGGGCCCCTGTGCCGTGGGTTCTGTCGGGAGTGGGTGCCCCGTTAGGTCAGGGTCGGCCTGGAGCTCCTCTCTGGGAATGAGGGGCTCTGTGTCCTCCACAGGCAAGGCTGCCGGGGTGAGGCCCATCCCGCACCAGACACCAGGGCCACAGGCCCGCCTCCCCCAAACCCTACGGAGAACTTCTAGGAAAGGCGCAGCTGGGGCAAGAACAGAGGGACCCGCTGATCTCAGCATTTTTACAGCTGACATCTAAAACCAGTATTTAATAGTCATTGGCTCTTCAGGATCAACAAGTAAGTGAGGCACTCATGGTAGAAAGTAAAACTGCTTTTGTGTGAACCGTAAAAGCTCACGGGCTAAAGAAAAACAGGATTCATCTTCCCAGAAAGGAAAGAATTTGGGATTAGTTAAAACAGCAAGGATCCTGGCTGAGGTGAGGAGAGGTGAGGGTGGGCGAGTGAATGGAGGAAAGGAAGCGCGTCTAGGGAGGACATCCCATTTCTAGGCACTAGATGGTGGAAAGCCTTGCAGGTCACAGAATATCAGAGAAGGGAGCATTCTAAGATTATTCAGGCTATTTCCCCCATTTGCAATGGGAGCCTAGAGAGGGTAAGTCAGTAGCCCAAAGAGACAAAGCAAAATGATGGCATCACTGGCAAGAATACCTCAAGCTCCTTGCTCCTGGCACAGGGCCCATTTGGGACTAGACAGGATATTGATGGGGGCTGGCAGATTAGCTGGGACATAGGGACTTCCTTAGGATTGATTCCAGAAGTGGAATTAGTAACAGGGGCATACCTGAGTTCTTGGTGGTGCGCGGCAGAATAGACTCTGGCTCTCATAAAGAGAGAAGGGATTTGTTGGAAAGATGGGAAAGGAGGAGCTCCTCAAATCCACAGGAAAGACTGGAGGACAAGGCTGGGAAAACAGGCAGCAGTTGAGAGAAGCCTGGTGGTCAGACCTCAGGCAGTCAGTGGACACCCACACACCAGCTGGAGTGCATCCTAAGTCTCCCTGCTCCAAGTTCCAAGTCCAGGTGGGAGCCTCACCAGGCTGGACCAGCTCAAGATTGGGGACCAGGTCTTACTCGCCATGGAACAGTAGTGTCAGGGGCATGTAATTAGTTTATTTAAATTTATAACATCTAATAAAAATAAAGTAGGGATATGCCTTTTGAAGCTCACGTTAAAGTAACAAAGACCTGGGTTCGTTTATAACAGGGCACATCCCCTGCCTGACAAACCCAGCTTTCTCTTTTGCTGATAGGGTATTAGCTATGTAAACAAAATCTTTTCCAAATGATAAGACTCACAGGTTCACAGCAGTAGATAACAATATAAGCAAAACTTCTGCAGCACTTACTATCCCCCAGGAACTATTCTAAGCACTTTTAAATAACAGCTCATTTGCTCCCCATGTAAACACTAGGAGACAGTTAATATCATCATCCCCATTTTATGGATTAGAAACGGAGGCACAGCAAGATTAAGAAATTTGCCCAAGGTCATGGCATTTAGTAGGGGCCAGAACTGGCACTTGGACCCAGGCGTCTGGCACCAGAGCTCCTATTCCTAACCAGTGGCCTTCTTGCCCCCTGTAAGCAGTCATAGTTGGCTGGTGGCAAGGGGCTCTGAGGTTGGGGTAGACAGCGACAGAGCCACTAGCATATACATGTGAAATTAAGGTTTTCTGCATGTCAAAACACACCATCCATAACATAGAAAGATGGATGGGATAAACGGTTTGCAGCAAAAACAAAAGGGCTGGAATACTTTACCACTAAGAAGGAAACAGCCCCACAGACAAATGGGCAGAGGCTATGATTTGAGCAGTTCACTGAAGACAAACAAATGGCCACTAAACAAAGGGACACTGCCTGGCCTCGATGAGAATCCAAGAGTACAAAGTAAGAACTTATCTTTTTAAAAAAACTGACCACACTGACACTGAAAAAGATAACATAAGGGCGCCTGGGTGGCTCAGATGGTTAAGCATCTGCCTTCGGCTCAGGTCATGATCCCAGGGTCCTGGGATCGAGTCCCGCATCGGGCTCCCTGCTCCTTGGGAGCCTGCCTCCCCCCTCTGCCTCTCTCTCTCTGTCTCTCATGAATAAATAAATAAAATCTTTAAAAAAAAAAAAAAAGATAACATAAAATGCCAGTAAGACTATGGTAAGGTGGCACACTCACCTCAGGGGGAGGGGCATATCAATTGGTGCGATCTCTCCAGAAGGCAATTTGGCAAACAGATTCTGGAAAAAAAAAAGTCCATCTCTCCTCCCAGAAATCCTACATTCAACAATGTATTTTTTTTTTTTTAATTTATTTGAGAGAGAGAGCGAGAATGAGCAGGGGAAGCAGCAGAGGCAGAGGGAGAAGCAGGCTCCCTGCTGAGCAAGGAGCCCTGTGTGGGACTCGATCCCAGGACCCCGGGATCACGACCTGAGCCGAAGGCAGACGCTCAACTGACTGAGCCACCCAGGTGCCCCTAGCAATGTATTATTGGGAAAGAATCAGAGATGCAGCACAAAATTTATATCTAAGGATGCTAATCACTTTATTTATGGCAGAAGAAATAGAAAAATAATCCTGTGAAGTAGAAACAGAAAGAAAGACCCAGTTAAGTGTCTACCCAGAGAACTGGTAGAACACAGTGGAGTATCAGGCGGCTATCCGAGTGTATGTTTACAAGGAAAATCATGATGGGAATTGAATGACATAGAAATTTTAAACTCAAAGTAAGTTTTATTATGGAAAATTTCAAACATACAGAAAAGTAGAAAGAATGATAAAATGAGCACCTCAAACACCCATCGCCTAACTCCAACAATTAACATCTTGCCATATTTCGATCACTGTGTCTGCACAACCATTTTAAAGTCATCGTGATATTTTAATGGCAAAAATCAGGATATATTCATTCACTCAATTAAAATAGATTTCTTGAACATCGACCATGTGCCAAGTTAGGTGTTTGAGACAGAGCAGTGAACAATTACGTGTGTGTGGCAAGTGTGGTAACATGCTGGTAGGGAAGGAATGGGGCTCTCAAATCCTGCAGAACCCCCCGGACCATACCCTAGAGGGAACACTGCTCCCTCTGCCCTCCTCCAGTGGCACAGATACACTCAGCCAGGGGTGGGCTCAGGAAGCATGAGGCTCAGACCCTGCCACAAACCCAGGGGCACTGCTACTTTCCAGCCATGAAGCTACAAGGTACTTCAAGTCTCTTGGCCTCAGTTTCCTTTTCTGTAAAATGGGCGTGATAACATCAGCCTCAGAAGGCTGCAGGGAGGATATGAGTGAGAGCACACACAAAACACACAGCGCAGCGTGAGAGGGGTTCAATCAGTAGTAGCCGATCAACACTGTCATCATCCAGTTCCCAAAGAGAAGCCGGTCTCCCCCCGCTGCAGGACACGGGCCCTCTTCATCGAGGACAGCAAGGAGCCCAGTCCGGCCCGGTCACCTTCAGGGCAAGGGCATCTGAGCGGGATTACTGTGACCAGCGGTAGGAAGCAGATGGCAGAACTCCGTGAGGAGGCAGGGAAGGCAGGCCTGAGGCCCACAGCAGCCTCCCTCAGCGCTGTCATGTCTGTTCCAGCAGCACGGCTGAGTGGGGCCGTCCCCACAGTCCTGCCAGGCAGCTCCGACTATGCTCCTCTCACAAATGATGACACCGAAGCTCAGAAATAACCCCTGTCCAAGGTCACAGAGCGAAGAAGTAGAAACCAAAACCAAGTCTGACCTCAGTCCTACCCTGCAGGCCTCCTAGAGCACCCCATGACCCAGACGAGGCATTTCCTACTGTCCCCAGGCAAGGGAGATAAAGTAGACAGAAGCCTGGGAGCTCCACAGAGGATGGGGGACAGCGAATGTGCCTGCCCTTCTGCTCTCAGGCCTGGCTTTGAAAGACATGAGACTCTTCCCCCTCTGCTTTCTGGAGAGCTGAAAACTAGGAGTGGTGACATCAGGCTCAGGACCCTCTCTGCATATCGCCCTGATCCAAGATCTTCTGAGGTCTGTCTAAATCTCCTGAAGGGCCCGGATGCTACCATCAAAGGGAAAGTGCTTGGCTTCAAGAACACAGAAGACAGAAGTCATCTATCCCTAGGGGAGGTCTGGCTTCATGGTTAGAAAAGGAACAGGCAAGTCAGTATAGCCAGGAGACATCCAGTCCCCCACAAGGTGGTTGTGGGGGGTAGTTACTTAACTATCAGGCGAGCAGGACCAGAGCCCAGTCCCAGGCTGGCCAGACACACAAATAGCTTCGCTCAGCCCATCGCCCCGCCCACTGACATCAGCAGCATAAACAGGATCCATCCACATTGACAAGTAATGGTTACTGACATAATTGGGATGTTCTATATCAAAAAATAATAATAAATCAGGGGCGCCCAACTGGCTCAGTAAGTGCAGCGTGCGACTCTTGATCTCAGGGTGGTGAGTTCAAACCCCCACATTGGGCGTAGAGATTACTTAAAAATAAAATCTTTCAAATAATAATAATAACAATAAAGCAAACCAAACCATCCTTATTCCCTGCTAATCTCTAGTCCAGCCTGATGACCACATTCCAGTGGAGAACACCAGAGGGGCTGGCTAACTTCTGCCATAATTTCTCTACTGACAGAGCAGTGCTCAGTGGTTTGAAACACACCCAGCTCGGGGGGTTCGTTCAATACCAGTTAAATGCAGATCAAAGGACAGAGAATTAAGAGGAGAAAAAAAAAATGAAGGAGGGGGTCAAAGAGAGAGGGAGGCAGCCGCCCCCCCACAATGCTCGGGCCAAAGCTCACCTCCAAATAAGGTTTTCACAAGTAACATTAATCATCCAAAGCAGCCCTAAGTTAACTTGACTTTAATTTGATCAAAAGCACTTGAAATTGTTTCTTGAACCCAGAAAAGAACA